TTATGCAGGGGATGGATAAAGTGGATAGAGGGAAACTATTTTCCCTCTCACGCAATACCAGAACCAGGGGACATCCACTCCAATTGCGTATTGGGAGAGTGAGAATAGACAAATGAAAATATTTCTTTACCCAGCATGTTGTTAGTCTGTGGAACTCCTTGCTACAGGATGTGGTGATGGCATCTGGTCTAGATGCCTTTAAAAGGGGATTGGACAGATTCCTGGAGGAAAAGTCCATCGCAGGTTACAAGTCATGATGGGGATTTATAGTCTTCAGGCTTAAAAAGAAGGTACTTCCAAATGCCAGATGCAAGGGAGGGAGATCAGGAGACAGGTATCTAGTTGTCTCATGTGCTCCCAGAGGCATCTGATGGGGCTACTTTGAGATACAGGGAGCTGGACTAGGTAGGCCCTTGGCCTGATCCAGCAGGGCTCTTCTTATGTTCCTATAATCCCAGACCCCTGTTTACAAAGACAGGTGGGGGGATCGCTTTGCTCAGGCCTCCCCTGTCTTTCTATGCACCTGCGACATAGACAGCAGAAGCCTGACCAGAGGACTTCTCCCCACTGTCTTTGCAAACAGCGGAGGGAGAGAGGATCACTTCAGTCAGGGCATAGAAAGATGGGAGAAACCTGACTGAAGTGGTCCTCCATCCCGCTGTTTGACAGTGGGGGGAATCGCTTCAGTCAGCCCTCCCCACTGCTCCTAGGAAAAGCTAGGCTGCTGGAACCAAAACTACAGTTCCAGCAGTCTAGCTTCTGTTTAGGCAGAAACTGCCGCAGAGCGGGAGGAGGCAGCCTGGCCAGGTAAGTAACCGTTAGAAGGGAGTGGGGGGGCAGGCTGTGGGGTGGATAGCTTTTTCTCCCCTAGATAGCGCCACGGGCTGTCTGAAGAAGAAGAAGAAAAAGACCCAACGAACCAACAGATTGAGTCATGGTTTGTCGGGTGACTGGGAGGCAATTTGTGGCTCGTGGGTCGTCGAGGTTAACGGCCCACCAGCCAAGATGAAGCACCATTTTGGCGCTTCTGCCCCATCTTTAGTTGTGATGCTGGCACTCTATAATGCTTTCTTGCTCCAAATGCCATGGACAAGTACACACACTCACAAGCTGTCTTCTCCAGTTCCCTCCCCTCATTCATGGCTTTTTGGTGTGGTATTACTGCGCATTAACTATTTATATTGTAGACTTAAATATATCTTTGCCCTCAGCCTAGTGAGTCTTCGAATCAGCTGAGTAAAGACAGGCGCCCAGTCTGAACCCATCTCACATAGCAAATGATCCAGCCGCGGGAGGGTCTATGACCTCGACCGGCGATGCTGGCCTTGCCCTCCACCCGGGATAGCGCGAGAGGGGAAGGCCCGGGTATTTAAAGGGCCTTCCCCTCCCGGAACGCCCTCTTCTTTTCGCGGGCATGGGACATAGCCAGGCTAGTCCCTATGCTGTGGCGGGTAGTGCGGAAAAGTAGGCATCTACGGTGGGTCCCGCAGTAAGTTCAAGTAAGCCAACAGTACATCCTACCGCCCGGCACTGCGGATCGTGCGATTACAGTGTCTGTGGTGGGAAGATGCGCTGGGCCACTCCCAGACTAACAACCCTCAAACAAAGGGGGATAAAGGTCTGGGGGTGTTTGGTTAGCGGCCGGCCAGGTCCCTGCTGTCCTTTACGGTCGCGGGAGCCTGGCCGGGGACTCGCCCTTACGTTAATCCCTTTAAATGTTTCCGCACTACAGCAGGCCCCTCCTTCATAATAAAATGTTGGTATATGATTGTATGATTAATAAAGTGTGGCCCATATTTTAAACCCATATTATTGTCTCGCGCATTATTCCGGGGTTGGGGGGGCAATGAAACTTCGTCCTTTTCCAACATCACTCAACTGGTTTTGTGTAGAAATCCAGAGAAGCAAAGCAGTTCCCCAAAACTTCAGCTGTGTCTTAACAATCCTAGATATAAAGGATAAATTCCTGAGTCATGTCAGCAGTTCGACTTAAGTCTGACTTGACAGCGAGTCCCATGACTTGAGTCTTCATCCCTGAGAGAGCAGCTGTGCTAGTCCCTCGTGTTAAAGACAATTAATCTTGCAGCAGTTTCTAAAGACTAGCATGTTTTATTTTGGTTCATCCCTGGAGAGCAGCTGTGCTGGTCCCTCGTGTTAAAGACAATGAATCTTGTGGCACTTTCTAAAGACTAGCATGTTTTATTTTGGTGTAAGCTGTCATGACCTGTAACCTACTTCTTTGTTCTTTCTGAAGGTGTACGTCTGAAGCAGTGGGATGCAGTCCACAATTAAAACTTGCTGGTCTTTAACCACAAGATTCTTTGTGTTTTTTGCCTTTGACATATTGCTGAGGAATGAATTTTACTACTTGCTTTATTGATGTGCTGCTTTTAAATTGCTTTTAATTCAGTTGTGAATTAGTTTGTATTTTGATATTACAAGTTTGTGTGATTTTATCTGTACCTCTTCATAGTTAATCTTGTGAGCTGCTTAAGGCAGGATATAAATTATATGTATATAGACACAGATTTATATACATACATAAACACATATATGTACATTGTATATACATACATGATATATAACACAGTTGCTTTGCAAAATGCAGTGGTAAAATATTCTTTGAAGAATTAATTTTAAAAGTCTTAAAATATAAATTGATGTTTGCCATTTTGGCATATTTGATTCCCCCCCTCCCGTATTTCTAAAGATGAAAAAAATACACCCATTTGTGTGTATAAACACATACAGTTGAATTGCTACCTTGATGTTTTTCAGGTCAGTTCCCCTACTGATGAAATTTGGTTGACTTCTAATCCTGTCCACAAAGCTGTTTCCAGTCTGCACAAGCCGATCAACCCTTCGAAATTTAATGGACTGCTCTCCTCATTTTCATCCGAGCTATTCTTGAGCACCTTCTGCAGCCCCTGGACCACCACCAAGTTCTGAGGTACTAGACTTACTGTTGTGCATCCTCCCTACTTCTAGACACAGCCCAGTTTTTCTTTCTTCTTTTACCTGGTTTTTTGTTTGTTTGTTTGTTTGTTAACAGATCAGTTCTTTCTTTCTTTCTTCTTTTACCTGGTTTTTTTGTTTGTTTGTTTGATGTGGCCTGTGGCAAACTCTGGGTCAAAAAAATGTGACCTCCAGGCTTGTCAGAGTTATATTTACTATATCACCACATTAGTTATCTTGGGCTTGTGGTGCTACCGGGAGTATTTCACCACTTTCCAAATTAACTGTTCTTTAAATGTATACCAATGTAATGTTGGAAGAAGGCTGCTAGAGAGCAGTAGAGGCAGGTTTCTGGCCGGCATTATGGCCAAATTCAGTGTTGTCCTGTTGTAGTGTTTGGAAGCCCACCTCAGACTGGTCCAGAGGTTGCAAAAGTTACAAGGATTTCTGAATTAGACCATTTTATTTGCTTACCATCCCAAACTGCCCCCCACACGTTTTGTATGGAGCTGTGGTGGGGACAAAAAGAATCTGTACAAAAAGAATGGTCCTCTACCACCTGACTTTTTCCCACCACCAATGTTCTTGTCCAAACAGGCCTCTCTGTAGCTTTCTGCATAGACTGTGGCTGCTAAATACACTAAACTTTTGTGCTCCTTTAAATACTGTCTTGAGATTTTTTTTTATTTTGCTAATGTGCCTAGAAGTTAAAAGTAATAGTACCATCAACCAATTTTATTGAAGTAATAACTCAGAAAGTCCCTGCTCTTTTCCTTTTAGTTGAGCTAACAGCTTAAGCATTTTTATCACCCCAATTAAGAACACTCCCAATTACAAATTGGGAGATCTATGCATAAAGACTGAAGTCCTGTTTTCATTTTTTTTAAAAACAAAGCGAGTCCCTAGTCAGTTTTATATGGTTACACGTGTTTAATTGTAGTTAGGGCACATAAGGAATTTTTTTTTACATGCAGAATTAAAGGACAGTATAAATACTGCTGAAACGTTTTAATAATATGTCTCCATACATATTGATAGCTGTTGAATATATCTCTTTTCTTGCTAACATTTTTAAAACAATGGTTTTATTGCATTGGTTGTTATTAATTAATGGTTTCTAATTGTCTTTGCTGGCCATATTGAACATACCCAGATGGACATTTATTATTTCTTTATTAGTCACTGTGAATGCCCCCAGGTTCTCCATGAGTAAGAGGATGTCAAAAGGTCTTTGAGGTAGTGACATAGGAATCACTCACTCAGACTTGCTCAACCAAATATGTGTTTGTATCAAGATCTACTGCTGTGTGCAACTTGCACTTCTCAGATCCTTGACCCCCACCCCCACAGTCTATGGCCACCATGCTTGTTCCGTTCAAGCTAGGCCTGGGAATGGTTCAGTTCAATGTGAGTTCAATATTACCCAGGGTTGTTGTTGCAGATCTTGTCCTGCCTCGTACAGATTTCTCTCTCATCTATTGACAGAGCCACCAAACGTCCTGCTTCTGCCCTTAATGTCTCTTCTGGGATGGTGTTGGATGGTGTGTGAATTCTGTTGGGAGAGTCACTTAGGTTCATGAGGAGCCCTTGCTAGGGTGTACTGGATCAGCTCCATTTGTGCACAAAGGGCCTCCAACTCTTTTTAACCCTGAGACAGTCAGTCCTGAACATCCTCCCACTCCTCATCCTCTTCTGACCCTTCCTCCTCTCCCCTGTCTTCCCCGCCCACACACACACTTCTTGCTTCCTCCCTGCCTTTTATTTACTCTGTTTAGCCCCCATCTGCCTCCCTATTGCCCATTAGGTTTAATCCTCTCAGGCAGCTCCATTACCTGGGCATCTGCTGCTGGAGCAGCTGCTGGCAATAATCTCCTTGGTAGGCATCACAAGGTTGTTGGACTCTTTCTCCTTGGCCGGCAACTCCCCATGCCATTTCCAGGGCAGTAGAGCCGTAGAATGGGGTGTTGTGGGAAGTGTTCTCCTTGACCCTGCCACAATCACATACCTAGCCTTCCCTCTGGTAAATTCAAGGCAGCATATATAGCTCTTTTTCTGCCCCCATTGGTTCCATAACTCACCCTGCAAGGGCATGTCAAACTGAGAGAGTGTGATGGGTCCTTGATCCTGGAGAGTGTGATGGGTCCTGGAGAGTGTGATAGGTCCTGGAGAGTCTGATCGGTCCTGGATCAAACACCGAGTTCAGTGGGGATTAGAAGCACCACATCGGAATCTGATGGAGAATCTGATCTGTTACTGGTTCCTCCATAAAATGTTTCCCACACTTGAAGTAATGGAAGCCAGCACTGATGGCAGAATGTTATTTTAAAATACTGTACCTAAGTCTCCACTGCACAAGAGGATGGTTGATGCACAGTATATATTTTTAAAAACAGCGTTGTTCTAGGGCTTCAGTTAGCAGGAAAGGGATGATGCAGTGAATCACATGCACACTCCAAAAACTCACATGAAATGTATAATGAATAAAACACAGCTTCGCAGGCACAGGGAGCCACGTGGAGTTCTTTACTCCCTTAAGATCAGTGGTCTGGAAAATAGTTCTGAGGCCTTTTGTATACAACCAGCTGAATCTAAGGCAACTGTCACTTTTATTCAGTCAGGATTGATTTCTGTTACCCATGTCTGACATCACAGAAGTATTTAAATACCTCCAGGAAGGTGAAGAACAGGAAGAACTTAGAACATTGAGTGTGAAGATTAATTAGTGTTAAATGCTAGAGAAATCAGAAGAATTCATTGCCTTTACCATTAAAAACTGAAAACATTGAATTAACAGTATCAGCTCATTACTTAAATCATTCATTCTGAAATAAACAGTGGAATTTACAGGGTTCCTTCACTATTGACCCTAATGGCACATTTTTCTTTAGAAGTGCTCTTTTTGTTGTTTTAAAATTATGTTCCTCAAACTAACACTTTTTAAAAAACAGACCAGAAATCTCATAATGCAGCTATTGGCGGATAATGACTGCTAGTAGGATGGAACATGTCTGAAACTGTGAGGATAGGGAAGACTATTTTCCCGAGAAAACAGGATCTTATCTCTTGAGAGAAACACCTTTGAACTAGCAAAAGTTCTGGATGTACAGGGATCCAATAACCCTTAAATACATTTACATGACTCCCTTACTGTGCTACCATAAAAGCCATAGACTGAATTGGCATTGGCAAAAATCTCAGCTTCCTCTCCTACACAATTGTTTTGGGTCACAATGATCACTTACCGCACCCACCCACCCACACACCATGGTACGGTCACCATAACTGAAAACTACTTCTTCCGGTCTCTCATGGATAATTTCATTTCAACTGTACTGTTAGAAATTTTTAAAATGTCTTTGCATTTGAAGCAATGTGAAGCAAAACCTAACTCTTGAGTCAAAGCAGAAAAGGACACTGGGATGTGTCATATGGAACCTTTCCTTAACAGAGTTTTCTGGGTAGAATAGCTTTGAATGTGAATGGCTCAAAGCAGGATAAACTAGAATGAAATACTGGCATAAAAGCACATCTCCTATATATCATGGAAGGACAAGGCTCATTACAAGGTTCAAAAGCACACTCAACAACCTTCCTGACTCAGTGTTTGTGGATAACAGTCAAGTGATTAGATGATTTGCTATGCTGTGGCCGTTACAGCTCTTTCTTCTGAAAGTGACCCTGCATGTGAACTATTCAGAATACCAGGATCAGGATGAGAATCAGCACCAGATGTTACTTCCCAAAAGATGTGGCATGACATTTTCCTTATGAGGAAATACTGAAAGAATTGGGCATGTTTAGCTTTGAGAAAAGAAGCCTGAGCATATATATATAATAGCACGCTTCAAATTTTTATTTATTTATTTATTTTATTTAAATTTGTACCCCACCCATTTAGTGAGCATGCCACTACTCTGGGTGGCTTACAAAATATTATAAAACATGCAGCTAAAAATATGAAAACTATATAAAACATATTAAAAGAAAACAAACAGAACCCAAATACTTGAAAGGCTGTCATACAGAGGAGGGTCAGGATCTATTCTCAATCATTCTAACACACAACAATGGACTCAAGTTACAGGAAGCCAGATTTTGGTTGAATATCAGGAAAAACTTCCTAACTGTTAGAGCAGTACAACAGAGGAACCAATTACCTCAAGAGGTGGTGAGTGCTGCAGTGCTGGAGGCATTCAAAAGAATTTAGTCAACCACCTGGCAGATAACTTTTGATTTATATTCCCACACTGAGTAGGGCGTTGGACTTGATGGCCTTACAGGCTCCTCCCAGTTTCATGATTCTGTGATTCTGTTGTATGATGAATAGGCATGGACAGTCATAGGCAGATCAGCCACTGTTGTGCAAAGCTTGGAAAAGTTACTTTCACGTAGTACAACTCTAAGAATCCCCCCAGCTAGCATGAGGGCTGATCATGCTGGCTGCCAGTTTCTGGAAGTCCAAAAAAGTAACTTTTCCAAATGAGGGCTAATCATGCTGGCTGCCAGTTTCTGGAAGTTCAAAAAAGTAACTTTTCGAAGCTTTTGCATGTGTCCACTCTGTTAATTTCACATTAATCTATAACGTTTTTTTAAAAAATCCAAATGAAAATCTATATTTAAACATGCGTTTACAACTTATTTAAAATCTATTTTATTTCACAATATACATTTCTGATACATTTTGTGCTAATCATGCTGGCTGCCAGTTTCTGGAAGTTCAAAAAAGTAACTTTTCGAAGCTTTTGCATGTGTCCACTCTGTTAATTTCACATTAATCTATAACGTTTTTTTAAAAAATCCAAATGAAAATCTATATTTAAACATGCGTTTACAACTTATTTAAAATCTATTTTATTTCACAATATACATTTCTGATACATTTTGTGCTTGTCTGGATGTGCTTACTCTTTAATGTTCAAATTTCTAAAATGCATTTTGATACAGTTTTTGAGCTGAGAACTCCACTACCTGGAATGAGGAAGGGGAATACATAGC